TTTCCCTCTTGATCTTCATTTTTCTTCATTTTTGCTATCGTCTTTGGCATCTTTTGTTCATACTTACGTCTTGCCTTAAGCGTGGAATTATCTATCAGCACGTAAGTTAAGAATTTAAATTTTCTGAATGAATGAGGCAGGAGCGAGAAGGAATACTCGGTGAGAAAAATCGATTACTAAATAACCACCTGTGGCTCTATAGATTTCTCTTCGCTACTTACTTTATTCTGTAACTTAATTCTTACGTATCGATGGAAATATAACAAATATTACTAATAATGCTTATCCCACCCTTTCACGATGATCGTTCTGCTTGACTTTTGGTTCTATAACTTTTTAGCCTATTTTTGTTAAAAATATAAAATAACAATACTACAATATTTATAAATTGATTAATTATTGAATTCATCAAGTAACAAGAATAACGATTATAACAATAACAACAACAATAACAACAACATTTTATTAGAAATGATATTAAAATTTATCATATAGTCAATATATTTATAATTTTTTTTATTTTCTAAAAAATTTGATATATGCGATTATTTATCGTCCAAATATTAATATAAATAAATATTACGTAAACAATATATATATATATATATATATATATATATATATATGTATGTATATGTATATATATATATATACATTTAAAAATATTATTAAAAATAAATTATTGTATAACAAATCATGTTAAGGAATTGAAGAACGAATAAGATCTACATGTTACAGTATTATACTTAAAAAACAAAGATTTTTAACAATCTTTTCTCGTTGTGCGATGAAACTATAAAAAAAAGTATAATAATTACATATACGTAACTTAGTTAAGCGTGTAACTGTCGTAATAAATTGACATAAATATCATAAAAATTCAATGCGTTTAAAATTACATTTAAATTGTTACATTTTATGAGACGATATTTCTTGTAAGAAATATAATAACAAGTAGTTAAGCTATTTGTTAATAATAACGCAATAGTATGTATTCAAATTTGTATACAATTCTATAATTATCGTTACAATTTCTCTGAAGAATATAAACATTTTTACTTTCATTGACTTTTTATTAAAGCATTTTCTTATGGCACCGGCATGTACGAGTGCTTATAAAATAAGCTGCTCCAACCATAATAGAAATAAAAAAGCAGAATTGAATATAATTAAATTGAAAAACGAATATTATAAAGTGAACGTAAAGAAAAATAATTCAGAAGGAGACATTGAAGAATAAAAAAAATAGTATAATATCGTTGGAAATTGTACTTTCATTATGAGCTGTGGAAGATAGTAAAATGACAAACACCTCGCAACCTCGATTATTAAATCTAACGTATGCGTGACCGCGTATGTGTGTGCGTGCGTGCGTGCGTATAGAAATGGGCGCATTAAAGTTTACCTGAGCAAGCCTGTGGCGGAAGCGGAAATATAAGGGTAGTCGATGATTTTCTTCTGGCAACTGCGCAGCCTAAACTTTGGGGCTTGAAGCTGCGCAACTGCTGCATGAAATCCGAACACTCCATCAGCGCCACGTCGGCAAAATGTAAGTCGCAAAGGATTTGATTTTTAAACCTGCGTAATATAAGAGATTATCGTCAATCGATTCTTAAGATACTCAAGCACATTCATAACTAATTGAGAATTTTCAAATGAATTATTAAAGAGCTTTATTTAGCACACTTTCAACGTGTGTGTTCTCCAACAATCGTGTAGGATACAGTTTTACAACTATAAAATTCAATCTCATCACTACCAATTCACATTACATGTAACTTTAATTACAAAATACCGAATTTTTTCGAAACAAATTATTATTATTATTACATCATCATCATCATCATCATCATCATCATCATCATCATCATCATCATCATCATCATCATCATCATCATCATCATCATCATCATCATCATCATCATCATCATCATCATCATCATCATCATCATCATCATCATCATCATCATCATCATCATCATCATCATCATCATCATCATCATCATCATCATCATCATCATCATCATCATCATCATCATCATCATCATCATCATCATCATCATCATCATCATCATCATCATCATCATCATCATCATCATCATCATCATCATCATCATCATCATCATCATCATCATCATCATCATCATCATCATCATCATCATCATCATCATCATCATCATCATCATCATCATCATCATCATCATCATCATCATCATCATCATCATCATCATCATCATCATCATCATCATCATCATCATCATCATCATCATCATCATCATCATCATCATCATCATCATCATCATCATCATCATCATCATCATCATCATCATCATCATCATCATCATCATCATCATCATCATCATCATCATCATCATCATCATCATCATCATCATCATCATCATTATTATCACAGTATTTGTACAAATTACTAATATATGCAGTGACGTTAATTTTGAATTTTACCGACCATCATAATGATTATATCGTAATTATTATTTTTAGTGCTGTATATCTTTACATGAATAATAGTTCTCTTTGTAAATTATTAGATGAAGATTGTCGCTAATATGTTTTATTATCGTAGTCACGATATTATGAGATGCTATATGTTTTAGAAAAAAAAATTTCTCGATAGTTTAATACCAGATAGACGATTATATTATAGTTTTAATCACATTAATTTAACGATTATCTAAGGTTTTAGCATTATTTACATGATAATATATTATAAATGGCATTAAGTATTTAGTAATAAACTAAATAAGGTAGTTTTAGTAATACTTGAATAAGGATTTTATAAAATTATTGTATTGTATATTAACGCATTGCCAATGAAAATATTACGTTCCTCGTCCCATAAAGTATATGTTCAATGATAATTTTATATAAACTTTATAAAAATGTCATATAAATTTAACTGCATATTGTAATATTGTGACTGTTGACTTTGAGATTTGTAAATCATGTTCTCGTTATTCTTTTATTATCACGTGAGACGACAATATTTCAACAAATCCTTGTGAACTATTACAGTCGAGTGTATCTTTTGTACAACTATCTGTTGTTTTAATGGCTTATTTTGTCCATTAAATTCATACTGCAAATCCATAATCTCTGTCTTACAAAGTCCTTAGTGGATATATCCTTTATATTTGCAATTCAATTGAAGAATAAATTATATTTAAGGAGAAATAAGTTCTGAGACTAGGGATTAAATTTGTGCTTGAGTACTTTAGAAGATGCCAGATTAAAAATAAAATTTACAAATTTTTCAGAATTTAAAAACTCTAGCTGTTTATTATAATAAACGAGTTAATTTTTCGAAGTCATAAAAACATTTATTAAAATAACGAGACTACCTGCGCGCCCGTTTTTGATTAGGTCCCGTGAGGTTGAGACCACAACTGTTACATTTTAGGCACTCCTCATGGTAGTGGTTGTTATCATAAAGCGGAGATGGTTCTAAAAATATCAGAGTCATTTTATTATTTTTTATTATTATTAAATTTCGCATAGTAGTGTAAGAAGAGAGACGATTTAAAACATATACAAATTTCCAATTAATAAAGTGTCTAAAATCAAGCATTTTAATAAGCATTTAATCAACTTTATATACTAGAGATTTAGATTGTTTTTTTTTTTTTTTTTTTTTTTTTTTTTTTTAAACTTTTTTTTTTGATATATAAAGATATTGATAAAATTATGATTTAATAAAAGTTACGTTTTTATTTTTTGATGTTAATAGAGTTAATTGAAAGCATGACAATAATATTGATGAGTTTTAAAAGAGTATGTATAGAATACGGAGGTAATAACGTTTTAAGACTAGAGTATATAAAACTATCAATATCTGTCTTTAATAAAATAAAAATAAAATGTAATTCCCTTTACCGATCAATAAAGTATATATCATACATTTTCGTTTATAATAAATGATGATCGGTGGGCAGTTTTAAAGCTAAAAGTCTGGACGTAAACCAAACTACCTTTGATTTGTAAAAGGATAAAAGATATTTTTCATCTCTCACTTTCATTATATGTACCATTTTCTTTTAAATATGTATTTCCATTAATAGCATGAAAGCTTCTTGACATATACGCATTTTAAATTTTTAAATATATAAATATTTTAAGTATGGCTATATATGGAGTGCTTATTTGACAATTTTTAATGCAATTTTAATGAAATGTAAATATAATTTAATTATTTTTTTAATGACTTATGTTAGAATGAATTTCGGCGAATAAATTTTATTATTTTATTATAGTAAATCAGCGTATGTTAAACGATGATAGTTAATCTTGTTTAATTTCTAAACATTGTTTTTTAATTATATAAAAAAAAAAGTAAATACATTTTGAATTTAAATCGTCGAATATATCAATATTTATTCATTAATAATAACATATTCATATTTATATATAAAGTAAACTACTTAATGTTAACAATATATTCAACGAATTAACAATTATTATTGGAATATGTAAAATACCTTGTTTAATTATAATTTTTTAAAAAATTTATGTTTAACATTACACATTTACCTCAGACTTACTTTCTAAAAACATCTTCTGAAAGTTACAAGTTAAATTGGATTAAAATTGAACAAGTTTTACGAGCGTAAGTAACTACATTTTAGGTAGTTTTTGAGTAAGATATATAAATGTATAAATGTATTAAAAATATAAATGTGTATGTTTATAGATGGATAATTTAATTTAAATGCTAAAAAGGTGTAATTTTAAATATAAAGTCATAATTTTAAATGAGCTCATATGTCCAATATATTTGGTTCAGCATTCAATATGAACAAATTTGAGTTCAAATAATAATTAGAATTCCACTAATGTGAATAGTGTTCGGAAATGAATAATTACATATAAAAATTTTCACATTTTTTAGATCTCTAATACTAAAATCTTTATTATACTTTTATTGTGAAATAACTCGTAAAATTATTTGATTAATTATATTGAATATTAATTTAAAATGTTATCAATAATAAGTTTTTTTTTATTTTAATAAAGGCGTGACATAGTTATTCAGTTAACCACAAAAGTTGTTGAGTATAAAATTATTTGAAAATAGTATATTGATTGGATAAATTGAATTTATATAATTATGAATTATTTCTATGTGTAGGATGTATTCGATTCTCACATAATACGAAATAAAATATGAATTGCTTTAATAACTATAATTATTTCTCCAAAAAATTATATTCAACACGTTTAAAGATATTTGAATTGTATATTGTTTATACATTTGTAAATCATCTTTTAAGCTTCTTTAGTTAAACTTATTTAGAGCCTTCATTCGAGTACTTCCTGAGTGTAAACAATAAACTGTATTAAATCTTTATCCTTTGTGTACGGATACAACTACTCAAAGTTTTCAGGAACAATACAAGGTACACACACACACGCACACATGTATATATATATATATATATATATATATATATACAACAGTTTCAGGTATTTATATTTTAACCCAGTTAATTCTTAAAACCTCATTGCTCGGACAACAGTTAGACGTTTTGCTTCATCGAAAACGTTTGGGGTGTGGCCGTCGTAAGCTCTCTCTCTCTCTCTGTCTCTCTTATTTTTCTTTCTTTTACTTTATTTCTTGAAGATAGCTAGGCGGGGATAGAAAGCATTCCAACATGTACCATCAAGAATTTTGATATAAAGCGAGGAGAGAACGAGAGCTGGCAGACTGTTAAATGCGTATAAATTCAAAAGATGAAATAATTTAGTCACTGTTACTGAAATTACGATCTTCTAAATGTATATTTCAGGAGAAAAATAAAGCATTACTAATTAAAATATTTCAAATTTATCTAAAATATTCTAATAACATATATCTTTAAGTGTTATATTCCGTATTATTCTATAAGCTTATAATAATTACTAAAAGTATAATTGATTTTATACAGATTTATGAAACTTAAACAAGCTTAAAAATAATAATATTTTAATAACAATATTTTTCATGAATCTTATATTACAAATACAATTTAACAAAATACAATTAATAAATTGATTGCATTTATTTTATTTGTATTGTAATGTTACTGTTTTTAATTTCTACTATTACTGTGGGTTTCGTTTTTAAACATTAATTAAAAATTTACAAATTCTAGACTTCATTGATAGCTGATTTTTAAATTGTTATATAATTTAATTTAAGTAGAATTCAGTCTCGTTATAATACATTAAATAACATGCTAATTTTTTGTCCTTTTATTTTACTTTATTGTAACATTATAATTTATCAATACTGCTTTATTTGATTATAGTACTTATAATTCAAATTAACAGGATATACTATAGACCTTATTATTACTTTCTTATTATTATTCACTTTCTTATTCCTTTTAAAAGGTGTACATTTGTTAAATAATATTTATAAAAATAATTGTTATAATTGATATTTACATTTAAATATGATAATAAAGATCCCTCAAAAAATAATGACCAAATTTTATTATTGTGTTTAGATTATTTTGATAATATTTAACAAGTTTTATTATTACTTTTCTCTTTACGTTTCACGTAAACTTATTTTTAATTTTCAATAAAAATTAATAATATTATTAGATCATATTATCTACATAGTACATATATATATATATATATATATATATATATATATCATAGTATCTATGTAATATATTTATATAATAACAAATTTATTTGTGATTAATTAAGGCGAAACTAATAACATTATTTAATTTTGTTTAAATGAATTGGGCATCACTTACTATATATATATATATCACATTATTCTATAAATGTACAAATTTCTATAGTAGACCCTTTTTAATGTAGAAAGAATAATTTTGCTAGTGTACGTTCCTTCTTTTATTATGCAGTTTTAAATGTATATATAATGATATATGTGTACAATAAGTTATAAATAAATTGTCATTTGACATTCTTTTTTATATTTGAATACAAGCCCAACAAAGTAATATTTATTAATTGAAGTAAATTTTTAATTAGAATTCCTAATAGAAATTTTTAATTTTATTAATTTAGCTATTATCATATATTAAATAGCATCGTGATGAATGAAATAATTTTCTTGTATAATATTTTATTTTAAATTTAAGTTAGAAATTGTTATCAATGCAGTTCTAACAATAATTAATATTAAGAAATAGAATAAATTTTGTTTGTTGATTAAGTACAAAAAGGTATCAAAGCTATTTTTCCTTCCCAGGGTAGCATTAGAAAATTGCATTGTTGATCAAGCAAATCGACTACCCACATTTTCATTACACATTTAAAGTGATCGTATAAACTAGATTCTTTTTAGTATTTTCACTCCGAAAAAAAGTGAATTCAATACCATAAGATGATGAAATTGAAATCGTATTAGTATTTTATGTTGCAATAAAAAACATTACTTTATGAAAAAAAAAAATGAAGTTCAACGTTATAATTATTTAATGTTTCCTTTAGTCTGTTCAGAGGGCTAATGATAATTATATTATATATCCATTTGAATAATGATACAATAAGAATAATTAAATCGTTAATTATTAAATAATTAATAATAATTAAACTGTTACCTTAAATAATTATCTATAGCATTATTATCAAATGTATTAAAAATAGTTTTTTTTTAATAATACCTAATATTCTTCTAAATAAATGCCAATGTTAAACAGAAGAAATATATATTATACAATTTTCTATGGAATGATATATTATTTTTTATGAAATATCGTCTTCTTAAAAACATTCTTATTATGTAAGTTATTCTATTATTCAATAGCTGTTATTTGTAAATTTTAAAGATTTAATAAGCTCAAATTAAGATTAAAATACCCCCGATGTCATAAATTATATATTTTCTAGAAATTAAGACATTACTTACAGTTATATAACAACAAAGTAGTATTAGTACAAAACTGTTTTCATAATATATATGGAAAATTTATTTTAATAATAATTAATTTCATATAGTATATTTTACATACTATTAATATTTTTAACATTAATAGTCAATTTTATTTCTAAATAACGTTCATACTTATAAATTGAACAATAGTATTATTTATTAAATGAAATATGCAATTTTTATGTATTGCAAGGGAACAAGATCAATTATTTAAATAAAATAGTCTAGATAATATTTTATTGTCTCTAAAATATAAATATTTGATTTGAGAGGTTTTAGTAAATATCGCATATCATCTCCTACTAAATATTATTATTAATTTCTTAAATATCATATTAAATATTTCTTTTTATTTATATTGAATTATATAAAAATAATATTATGTGTTTAATTATATATATTTAACCATTTTTAATCTTGGTATTTAGAAGTTTCGAAAACTAATAAAGATTATATATGTGTATATATAGAATATATATATATATATATATATATATATATATATATATATATATAGGAAAAATACATATAGAGATTATTTAATAAATTT